ACTGTAGACATAACCTCCTGCCCTGCATTTGGACATGGAGACTTGGGTCACAGGGAAGGCCCTGCAATTGTCAACACCTGAGTCAGGGTCAGGGTGGTAAACATCTTGGCATCTAGCCACTTACCTATAAGTCTCCTATAGAAGGAATCTCGCGAGTCTAGGCCCTGCAACTTTAGGGTGGAGCTATGTCATTTACAGAGTCAGTTCCCTGGAAAGAGGTATTTTTGTTGTTTTTGTTTTGTTTTGTTTTGTGGAGGTATGTGTGGTTCAGATGACATCCACCAGAGGATTGTGTGCCTCTTCCCTTTGAGGCCTGCATTCTTGCTAGCTGAGCTGGAGTGACTCTCACAGGGCCCTGGGTGCTGGAGAAAGTAGAGTCAAGTCTGCGTTCAGAAGACAGATGGGAAAGCTGAAATGAAGTCATCTAGACCCTTCCATGGGGAGGTGGCATGGGGCTGAGGTCTGCCTGACCTAGTACATCCCCCAGGACATGAAACAGGGGAGCTAAACAGGTAGATCAGACAGGAGACCAGTGTCCTTGCATCCGGGTAGTATGTTTGCCTGACATCTGCCAGTCCAATGACCATGGCTGGTCTGCAGTCAGCCACCCTGTGCAAAGGGTGATCTCCAGGGATGGCCTGAGTAACTGGCAAGAATGCTGTGGGACTTGCATTTTTCTTGCTGGTTCTAAGTATTTTTATAGGTAGATACTCACGGGCCTCCGCCTTCTGGCACCACTGTCCTCCCCATGTTGAAGCTGAGCCCTGGGGCTTTTCTCCATCTTTGCTCTTAACTGTCAAAACTCAGAGCAGAAAGTAGATCTTTCAGTCCAGGCTGCTTTAGAGTGAGTGCTGCTGTGTATGGAACCTACCCGCTTGTTTGTGGGCTCACCGAAGCTCTTTTACACTCTGAAAACTTGGTTGTGTGTCAGAGCACAGTGGGGCACACACATTTGACGCAAATGACCCTCAGGGTGTTGGGGTGGGCCGACCAAGGCCCTCCCCTGTGGCCAGCATCCTAACGACTCCTGGAACCTCAGGTGCTTTTAAATTCCGGAAAGTTAGATCTTGTGGGGTTTGTGGTAAAGAGGAAATGACACCACTGGTGAGAGGTCCCCTGGCACACCCCCTGGGCTGGGCTGGCAGGCCTGCTTTGGTTTGTCTCGGAGAGTGGCCATTTGGTGTTTCTGTGCATGGTTGCCCTGACTTTGAGAAAAAAAAATGAGAGCAGCTCCATTTCCCTGTGCTAGGGCCCCTTGCCCTCGCGTGTGAGGTGGGGAAGAACACCGCTCTGCAACAGAGTGAGTTCACAGGAGACAGCTGCTCCGGGACCCCAGAGCTGCCAGCAGTCACAGCACACCAGAGGCTTGTCCCTCAGCTCAGGCCTCACTGGCAGTCTGCCTTGTGATTGGGTGTAATGAGGTCACTGCAAGTTCTACACCACAACTCCTGCGCGTGGCCTGCTTTGGGATATTTAGTCCAACAGCATTTATAAAAAGATGAGACCAGTAGAGTGTGCAGTGAATGAATGTAGCTGTGAGGTTTGTGCCATGCTGGGGGGGGGGATTAAAGTTTCATTTTTGGCTTTTGTTATTGTTGTTTTTTATTGTTTTGTTTTCTCTATATAGCCCTGGCTGTCTGGAACTCACTCTGTAGACCAGGCTGGCTTTGAACTCTGAGATCCGCTTGGCCCTGCCTCCTGAGTACTGGGATTAAAGGCGTGCACCACCATTTTTTTTTTTTTTTTTTTTTTTTTTTTAACGATACTCAGTGTGCCAGGCTTCTGGGCATCTAGCAGGGGTCAGAGATGGCAGACTAGACCTCTGGCTCTGCAGGGCTCAAACCCCTAGAAGAGAGGCAGACAAGCTGAGAGGACTAAGATCCATTTGGGCAAGGGCCTAGTGGCTTCCTGGAGGAAGGGATGTGGAAACCTAGCCGAAGTCCAAGGGTTCTTGGCGAGAGGTTCGCTGGCACAAAGATGAGTGAGAGACTGAAGAGGGGTGGGGAGGGCAGACAAGTGGAAACCGACCCACAGGCTGGCTCAGGCTTAGCCCAGGGTGGTGCTTCCCTGCATCGGCTAGCCATGGCCAAAGTTCTGTGTAAAACACTGCTACTGCTCATCCAGAGGCCCAGTGTGAACCCACACTGTGATGGGTGGCCATTATTGATGCCATTGTTAACGACAGGAGCCTAGCCTCTTTCATTAATGTGGAAAAAGGGTAGTTTTGAGTTTGTACAGCTATTTGGTGGGTAGGCCTGCCTCTGGCCAACCCTTTGGAGCTGTGGTTTGCAAGCCATCTTCTGTGGAAGGAGGGAGGGAGGAAGCGAGGGATGGAGGGCTGGGGAGAGGGAAGGAGGGCAGGGAACTCCTAAGGATAGGGCCCTGGTGTTTCCTTCCTCCTTCCACTCTCAGACATTTGTGAACACGTGTCATACTCAGGTGACACAAGGAGGCAGAAGTGAGTGAGTCACAGGCCCTGCCTTCATGTAAAGTAGGGGGACCTAATGTGTTACTTGTGGGATTCAATATCCTAATTCAGATGCAGTCTCTGCCCTTCTGATGCTTTCCAAGACCCAAGTGAGAGTGGCCCCCCCTTCTCTACCTTCCAGTCAGCACCTGAAGCCACACCCAAAGGGGTGTGGCACTGACACAAATTCAGTAGCAAGGCAAGATGCTACTGCAGGCATGTGTGTGTGTGCTTTCATGTGTATATGTGGGCACATGTGTGTATGTGTTCATGTGGGAGTATGCATTCATGTGTATATGTGGGCACATGTGTATATGTGTTCATGTGGGAGTATGCTTTCATGTGTATGTGTGGGCACATGTGTGTATGTGTTCATGTGGGTGTATGCATTCATGTGTATATGTGGGCACATGTGTGTATGTGTTCATGTGGGTGTATGCATTCATGTGTATATATGGGCACATGTGTGTATGTGTTCATGTGGGAGTATGCTTTCATGTGTATATGTGGGCACATGTGTGTATGTGTTCATGTGGGTGTATGCATTCATGTGTATATGTGGGCACATGTGTGTATGTGTTCATGTGGGTGTATGCATTCATGTGTATATGTGGGCACATGTGTGTATGTGTTCATGTGGGTGTATGCATTCATGTGTATATGTGGGCACATGTGTGTATGTGTTCATGTGGGTGTATGCATTCATGTGTATATGTGGGCACATGTGTGTATGTGTTCATGTGGGTGTATGCTTTCATGTGTATATGTGGGCACATGTGTGTATGTGTTCATGTGGGTGTATGCATTCATGTGTATATGTGGGCACATGTGTGTATGTGTTCATGTGGGTGTATGCTTTCATGTGTATATGTGGGCACATGTGTGTATGTGTTCATGTGGGTGTATGCATTCATGTGTATATGTGGGCACATGTGTGTATGTGTTCATGTGGGAGTATGCTTTCATGTGTATATGTGGGCACATGTGTATATGTGTTCATGTGGGAGTATGCATTCATGTGTATATGTGGGCACATGTGTGTATGTGTTCATGTGGGCATGTGCATGTGGAAGTAAGAGTTGATGTCAGATATTTTCCTTAATTGTTCCCTATCTTTAAAAAAAATTTTTTTTATTTACTCTCTGTGGAGTGTGTGTGTGTATGTGTGTGTTTGCGCACGCGTGTGTAAACATACTCCATAGCACACACATGAAGGTCAAAGGATGAGTCGGTTACGTTATCAGTCTTGGTGACAAAAGTGCTTTTACCTGCTGAACCATCTGGCTAACTGGCGTTTACTAATTTTTAGGATGTATGTTAACAAGATAACAAATGTCACCAGACTCTGAGAAACATGCTGAGATCTTTACAGGTGATGGGAAAGGGGTGCATTACCTAGATAGCCAAACCCTCTGGACCTGAGTGTTTCTGAGTGGCAGGGTCTGGCCTTTAGGTGGTGCTTGCTTTTTGGGGACACTGAGAGTTGCAACAGGACTAGATATTCTGGCCTCAGATATTCTCATAGGCAATGGATGCTACAGGCTTAGCCAATCCAGATAACTGCTCTCCTTGGCTCCCTGAATGGTGCCATAGTCCTGTCTGTTGGAGTCTGCCGGGTTGCGTCAGCTGAAGGAGCCTCCTCTTCAAGCTTGTCCAAGCTGTACCCTCCTTGTGTGTTTTGCCTCTGCCCTTGTGTTCCTCAGTGCTGGTCAGAGCTCTGTGCTTGACCCAGGTCAGTACATACTTGTTCAAACTTATCTTGCTTGAGTCTTTTGAAAGCTTTGGACATTCCTCCCTTGGGTCTGGACTTTGCCAGCATTCTTGGGGTGTATATCCCCAATAGTCAATGTTAAGGACTGTTACCAACACTGTCCCCACCCCACTGTCCCTAGAAAGTTGGGTGCTTTCTGTGATGAGCTGACTGTCTCTTCAACTCTCTGAGGGAGCATCTTTTTTTATCATCAGTGTAGATGTGTGTGTTAGTGTGTGTGTGTTAGCGTGTGTGTGTTGTGTGTGTGTATATGTACGTGTGTGTTGTATGTGCATGTGGGGGTGGGTGTATCAGAGGGGAAAGGTAAGTAACTTGCCCAGCATCACAGACCCAGGGAGAACTTCTGCCCCAACCCAGGCTGTCTGAATCACAGCTGGAAGGTTGCCCCATCTTTGCAAGCCTCCCCTCTTTCCTTGTTATCAATTATCTGTATTTGTGTACCAAGCAGGAAGGCTGGCTTCTTTTTAGCTAGCTGCTGTTCTGAATAGTCATGACCTTTACTGTTGAGGAGCTGGTTTTGAAGGCAGTGTAGTTGGCCAGTCTCAGTGAAGATGTGGGCTCCATGCTTGCAGCTAGACCATCCAAACTCCCAATTTGTAGCCTTTCTGCACCATGAATGACAGCAAGGGGTTTCCCCGGCCCCTGCTGGCTCCTGTTGTCAGAGCATCCCTGGTGTCTGCCTGAGCTCTCCAGAGGGCACATGGCTGCCACATGCTTGTGTTACCCATAAAGGTGACCTTCTCTTTGCTGGACTTCCCACAGGCAAAGCTGGTGCGGTACATCTGCAAGCAGCGGCAGTGTAAGCTGAGTGTGACCCCCAGCGACAGGACTGCCGAGCTCAACAGCTACCCACGCTTCAGTGACTGGCTATACATCTTCAACGTGAGGCCCGAGGTGGTGCAGGTATGCAGCAAGACCAGGCCAGGGGCAGGCAAAAGGGACACGCAGGGGTCACATGGCTAAGATATAGGGGCTGCATGCTCTGCTCTTGGGAGGGGGAGATGGTGGTATGGGGTTTGGGGAACAGTAGCATCCAGTAGGAACCCATGGTACCTGTGGCCACAGCAAGTGCCCCAGGTGCCATTGCCTCATAAACTGGGACAGCCTGACCACACTAATCATTCATTTGATCATATGACAAGGACCTTCTTTTCTGGAATACTTGTCTTTGTGGCAGACATTGTGTTTAACACTGACATTGTAACCTTGGAGCTGGAGGAGAGATGGCTCAGAGGTTAAGAGTACTTATTGCTCTTGCAGAGGACCTGGGTTCAGTACCAGGACCCAGTACCCACAGAGTGGCTCACACCCATCCATAACTTCAGTTCCAGGGGATCAAATGCCCTCTTCTGGCATCCACAGTCACCAAGCATGCACTTGGTACACATACATGCATGCAAATGAAATACTCATCCACATAATAAAAGAAAATGAAAGTGTTATCTTCCTTTGCTCAGAGTTCTATAAAGAGGGTTTTGCCATCCTTCTGTCTTACATTCAAGGACACATGGCTGGCAAGTGTCAACCAGGGGACTGGGAAACAAGAGTCCAGGCTCAGCTTATTCTCCCACTGCCGAGCTGTGTTGTCTTTCTTCTTCAGTCCATCTTTCCATACATCCATCCTACCCACCCACAACTCATCACTTAACCAAGCAGTATCCTTAACTGTATCAGGGTGCAGGTCGGTACTCACGGAGCTACCATAAGTGACTATTCGGAAGCTGTGCTTAAAATCTACATCGATTCTAAAATGTAAAAGCCTGATTCTCACTAGTGTTTAAAGTGAAATCCCTTCTGTGAGGACGCTGAGGAAAACAAAGAGCAGGGAAGAATGTCATGCAAAGCCCTGCCACTCAGGAACGAGGCAAAACAAAACAACCCTTTGACATCTTGATCCTTCACCCCAAAGTAAAAATCCTTATAACATTTTTAGGGGGTCAGGACCAGCCAGGCAGGGAGTCACTGGTCTCGTGTGGCTGTAGCTGTTCCTTTAGCGATGAGAGTTGTAATCTGATGCCTGGGTACCAAAGTAGACAGTGTGTCACATTTCCTGTCTGTCACATGGTGAAGGGACAGGCTTTTTTGGACATATGAGGATTTCTAACATTACTAAAATTAATCTCCTCTGTCATTGGGTGTGGTTGGTTGTTGGTTGGTTGGTTTGAGACAGGGTCTTGCTATATAGCTCAGGCTGGTCTGGAACCCTTTACCTAGCTCATTAAGGTGGCCTCAGATGCTAGGTGGTCCTCCTGCCTCTCCCTCCCAAATGCTGGGTTATAGTCACGCATCACCCTGCTCCTGTCACGCATCACCCTGCTCCTGTTTGGCTGGTTTGGTTTCTTTTTTGGTTTTTGTTTTGGGGGGTGTTTGTCTTGTTTTTTGTTTGTTTGTTTGTTTGTTTTTGGTGTGGTTTTTTTTGGCTTTTTGTTTGTTTGTGGGTTTTTTGTTTTTGTTTTTTCTTGATTTTGGTTTGGTTTTGTCTTTTTCAAGATGACTATTCAGATTGTAATGTAAGTGTGCTGCTCTCCAGTGCATAAGATTATCTAGAATAATCTTATGTTTTGCTGTCATCATTTGACAGTTAACCCAGTGTGTTTTTCTCATATTTTCACACTTTTGCGTCTTACTTATTATTTCTTTATTACTGTTTTTCAGAGTGGGTGACCTAGGTGAATTCCAACCATTGGCTATCAGATGTGACAAGAACCAGTACTATTATGACAGTCTTTGCAAATACTCGATAATTTCCCTTTAGGAAACATAAAATGTGCCTGTCCTGTCACAGGCCTGAGGAGTGAGTGATGGCCCTAGTTACCCTCATGTGCAGTGTGGTCCACGGTGTAGACAGAAAGGGTGGGCTGGAATCAGCGGGCTCCTTGAATGTTAACAGTTGCACTCCTGCACACCGCACATACACAGAGTATAATGAGCTACAACCTCTGTCTGTCTTCTCACCTCCCTTCCTGCTCAGCAGTCTTCTGCCATACAGGAAGGAGGTTGGACATGCAATTTGGGCACAGATTTAAGTACATAGACTTGGTGATTGTGCAGAAGCAAGCCGCACCCCTCCACACACACACACACACACACACACACACACACACACACACACACTCTGCCACCATCATCTGAGTCTCACTGTGTCTCCTCCGTCCCTTGTATCTGTGTCAGTACCTCCATCTAAGGACACAGCAGTCCAGACATGGTCACAGAGCTAGTGACAAGGACAAACACATGCATGGTTAAGTCCAAAGTGCTAGACTCCAAAGTGTGCCCTTTCACCTCCTTTGCTCTCTGAAGATATACTTGGCAGCTGGTCTTATGCCACAAAGGGCTTCTCTGCAAAAACCTGAAAAGCTCGGGAGGCTCTATCTTTGGGAGGGCCCCAGTATGCCCAGGCCAGTGGGTGCTAATGTGGAATGTTGCTACAGCTGCTGCTGTGACCCCTGGAGAGCTGTGTGATGGCAGCCAGGTTAGAGGCCTCCCAGCCAGGCCAAGTTGTAGCAGGTGCTGAGTCAAGGGCTGGCTGAATCCTGGAGCCCTAAATGACTCAGCAGAGCTGGGTGCTCAGTAAGCGGAGGACTGTTTTTGGCTCCAAGGAGTGGTAGGCAACTGGGCCCCAAGGCCAACTGGATGATGGGAGCCAGGGTGTCCCTTGGATGGAGAACTCTGGAGAACAGAAGGCGAGGGTGAGAGAACAGGAATGGTGACTGCCGCCTGTGACCCCTCACCTGGAGACATTTGTACCCACGAAGCCAGCTGCTCAGGCAGAGACTGTGTCCTCCCATTGGCATGTGTGGGTAGGCGCTGCCTCCCACTGTGTCTCTCACCTCAGTATCTCACTGGGCCATAGTTAGGATCCCCTTTTCCACCCGTTCTGTGGGTGTTCTGAAGGAGTTTTGTGTCTCTTTGCATGTGGGCTCTATCATAGAAACCAGGGATCCCAGTCCTTCCCAGCCCTCCCCCTTGCCGGAGGCCTAGGCCTTTAATGGAGTAGCATGCCTCTCACTGTGCCAGATTGGCCCTGGGCCATGGACACTGAAGGTTAAGTAGCATTATCTCCCTGGCCTGTTTGCCCTGGTTCCTTAACCCACCTACTGTTAAGGAAGCTAACAAGTCCCCAAAGGGTCAGTAGGGCAAATTGACTCCCTTGGATGGAGAGGAGTACAGAGGTCCTGCTGATGCCTTCATGAGGTAGCTGCACCTTCAGCATCCCAGCCTGCCACAGGGTGTCTGGATGTCTCTGTAGCAATATAGGTCCTTCTAGAGAGACCTTCCCCCCCCCCCCCCCCCGCCTAACCTTGACATTTGACCTGGAGAGAGTCAGTCTTTCATGACAGATACAAACTGCAGAACTCAGCTCCCTAAAGAAACAGTTCCCAGGGCATGGGAGCATGCACTTTGGACAGCGTCAGTAGCCAGGAAGCTGTGGTACCTGCTCCTTGTTCTGCTCCTACATTCTGTGGCCACCCGGCTGAATGTGCCCTGTGAAGGCCATGGGCGCTGCTGCTGGAGCTATTCTCCAGTGGGAACAGGGCAGCCCTGAATACTGTTGCCATGGATGTGCAGATGTGAGGACATCCAGAGCCTGAGGTATTGTAGGTGTCCTGCGGGCCCATCTTCCTTTGCTACCTATGTATCTCTGAGGAAGTCACTTTCATCCCTCTGGGCCTGTTTACCCATTTGCTGCTGCTGCTCCTCTTCTTCAACTTATTTTATGTGCATCGGTGTTTTGCCTGCACATATATCTGTGCAGCTGCCATGTGGGTACTGGGAATTGAACCCAGGGCCTCTGGAAGGGCAGCCAGTGCTCTTAAGCGCTGAGCCATCTCTCCCGTCCTCAGACAGGTTCCTTTGAGAGACCAAGGAAGGCCAGAGCAGTAGATTTGTACAGTGTGAGGTGCTCCGGGGAGGCTGTATGGAACCATGCTGTCCCCTCCCCCCTCCATTGAGCCCTCCAAACAGCTGTGCTGCTCCAAACAGCTGTGCTGCTCCACCGCTGTATGTCTTCTCCAATAACTTCAGTCCCATTGTCCTTCAGAAAGGATTTCACAACGCTTTCCCATTGGGGTCCTATGGAGCATGTGTCCTATGGTCAGACTGCATGCACACAGACACACATTCACTCACGCACACAGGCCCAGGCCCAAGCCAGGCTCCTTCACTCATGGACTCTCACGGATCATACTTGTGTGTTCATCCCTTCCCCCCCCCCCCCTTTTTTTCCTTTTTATTTATCCCATGCAAGAAGTGATCAGGGAGCAAATAGAGTCCCATGGCTACCAATGGTGGGTGCCTTTAAGCTGCTTTTCATACAACAAACAGCAGGGGTTGTTATGAAGTAAGAAGAGGTCTAGGCCTCCCTGTTCCTGTACTCTGAGATAACTCCCCCCCCCACCCCTTGTTCACAGTTGGCAGGTACCCTGGCCAGACCTCTCCACGAGTGCCACAGTCATTGAAACTGACAGCTCACATTTGTTCCCTTCCTGTCTTTTGTTTGCTATAATGGGATCGTGCAGTATGAAGTCGGCAAGATGTTAGTCTTATTCTCGCCTTTGTGTAAATCCAGAAAATCCACTTCATTCTTCTTTTACAGCACAATAGTGAGAGAATTCTTCAGGATGTCTGACAATGGGCTGGGGATGCAGCTTAGAGACAGACAGAATGCTGCTGCCTGGAGAGTGACCATGAGCATTTTCCAGCCTGCCTGCCGACAAACTCAAGTGGTGGCTAGCCTGTTTTGCAGGGGTAGGGGCGTGCTGGGGAGGTGGAGCTGGAAAGGAAGGCCTCCCCCAGCCTCACACACACACACACACACACACACACACACACACACACACACGCACGCACGCACGCACGCACACACACGCGCACACACACACACACACACACACACACACACA